TCCCTCTTAACTGCATTCTTTCGAAGAGCGGTAGTTCATTTATTACTGCATTACGACATTCACCACGTGAGGTCATCAAAATCGCAGTTTGTTTGTTCCATGAGTTTCAACGAGACCATTCTCGAAAGCAGCATCCCCTTTCTGGTGTGTTTCGCCGGTTACTCGTCATAACAACCCGGTTATACTGATTTCCGTTAGATTGGAGTTAGTTAGTTCTCATTTGCACACATGATTGCGTGAAGAACAAACGAACAGGTGAACTTTATCCATATTCACGAGAATCTCCTATTCACCCAGGATAGCCGGCAATGGGTGGGGAAGATAGGTTCGAATCTCACCACCACTACCGCCTGACTCTCCCCATTGTGTTTGTTAAGGGGTGTCCCATTGATTGGCCGCTTCCCCCTTCCTTAAAATGGCATCTTTGTATATTTAACAGAAGAAATTGAAATGAAAAAATAATCTGAGCACTGCAATTTGGAGTAGTGAGTGGAAATCAGTGTTTACTATTCCATTCCCAGTTAATTGACACTCACGCTTCAGTCCTTTTTTCGATTTATTTGACGACGACGACGGACACAAACGTCAAATTGTACCATCAACGGGAACGGTTCTTCACGAAAATGGGAACGGTCAAGCAGTAAACAACTTAACCAGACCAGTTGGATGGTTATATAACCGTAGCCGTGAACTTCCTGTAATATGCTATGCGTACTGTGCTAACTGTATGTTAGAATCGGTTCGATCAAGTTGCCCGTGAAATCCCATTTTGGGTGATCCACATTGTTTGATGATCCTTACACCACCAATTTTTTTTGTAACAGTTTCTTTTTTGTTCTGCACTGATAAATGTCCTCCCGGTTATGGTGGATTTTTTCTTCCTCTTCAAATAAAAGTAATTTGTGATAATCCCATAAAATAAACCAAACCCCAGAAGAAATGCTTCAGTGAGAACCAGACACTGTTTTGTCGACATCAACCCATCGTTCGAATGTTTTCTTCCCGCTGCCATCCATTCATTGTTAACTTCAGATTGATTTTCCTCTTTCCGGAACGCTTGTATACTTGCAGACAAGATCGGCGAGTGAAAACGGGAGAACGTTCCCCACAGATCCGTTCGCAGTTCTCCGTGGAACGGTTGGATGGGAATGTTCGGCGGTTCTCGGAGACTGCCGCGCCCTCGGTCCCGGTGCTTCCCAGTCATCTGGCTTCCGCATCGTTTTACGGTCTTCTGTATAAAATGAATCATCGCAAACTGCTTCAGCATTGGAAACAGAGATTTTTTGTTCTGGACACTACTCGGCATCAGTTACGCTACTATGACACAACAGCCGATGAGATGCCACGAGGTTGTGTGGACCTGCAAGACGTCCGCGCGGTGCGCCTTGTGAAGAATGTGGTACCACACCAGAAGCGAGTAACCGATTGTGGTGTATTTGAAGTAAGATATCCCGAATGACCTCGTATACGTTAGCTGTTTGTTTGTTCTATTTTGGTTGACGTTATATGCGAATTTTCTTGCTCTGTTTATTTCCAGCTGGAAACCAGTACGCGCACCTATCGCTTTGCAGCAGAACCGGCTGAGAAGGCAGCTGAATGGGTTGAACGCATTCAAAATACCATTCAATAGGGGGAGCAATGTGCGTGCAAGGGCCATCCTAACGGCCATTTCCATGCAATCCATTGCAGTGCTTTGCCTTCCGTTCTCACGCATAATATTTTTCTTCACCAGCCCCCGTTTCGCCCCACCCCAATCGAAGGCGTTTATCACCCGAATGGGAAAGATGTATTGTTCGGGTAGGCAGGGTTGGATGTTCTTCGGTGTGAGCCTGCGACACTCGTTTTCGATGTGCGTAACACGGAGTCAACTTGTTTGGAGTCTTGTTCGTGCACACCCACACGACCTGCATACCCCATACTCCTGGGCAATAATCTATTTCTCAGCACCAATCCCACTCAGATCCACAGATCTCATCTTTCGAAAAACAGTCCAGTAAAGTAGCAGTTTGAGGGCCTATTCCTATTTCACTCCGAGATTGGCCCGAATGCTACGTGAATACAGTTGTGTCTTCGGACGAAACCTTCCGGCGGGCCTGTGCACGCCTTGTACAGTACCATTTATCAGTGTACAAATCTCGCCCGTCTATCAACCCAACAGTCCCCACCCCCCTATTCAGATGCTGACAATTATAATTACCAAACTGTTGTTGTCCACATCAATACCGACATTTAAGTAGTTTCTATCACTGAAACCACCCCACCCCTTTTCACCCCCAATTGTGGTTGGTGTTTGACGGTCCCGACACAAGAACTAATCCGCTTTTTGGCTATTCACCCTAGATATTTAACCGATCGCAAACACTGTTACCGCTTTTGCATCCACTCTACAATCTTCACAACCATCAGCTAGGACTTCATTTGCTCCGTTGAGAGAAGTTTACGCACTCATTCAACCTAATTGTCTGTGTATGTGCGCACCACCTCTGATCCCAGCTTTCAGTGATACACACACCTACAGTCACACGTGTGTGTGTGCACCGGCCCACGTTTTCCCACTCTCCGTTCCCAAGTTAAATTAGTTTGTGAAAAATATTGCTTTAACCCCGCTCGAATCGTGCTTTTCCACTACAACTCTACACACAGACACACACACACAACCCCCCTCATCGCTAGTTGGTGTCGTGCCCAGAACCGTGGACCATGACTTACCTGATGATCAACTCGGCTATCTTCGCTTTCCGTTTTATCCAATTGTCTTCAGTGCTGCTGCTGCTACCATTATTACCATTATTATAAGCCCCGTTGTCCTTCATGCCAGTCCAACGCGTGCATTGTACACACCGCCCCGTATGAAGTTATACGAAAGCGTCACCAACTCTGACTATCCCCGTTTTGTGATCCACCAGTAACATTAATCGTATAAATATATACATTGATCACCATCAGTCAATACAGGATGACTTTTTCCATTCATCCGTTCAGATCAATTTACTGGTTGAATGTCCAGTGATATTTTCCTCTTGGGGATTTGAGTTTTTGTAATGGCTGAAGTAGGCACAGATCACCAAATACGAACGCTACGGAAACACCAAATCGCACTAGCACGTGCTCGCTGGTATCCCACGAAACCGAGACACAAATAAAAGGCCACAGAAGTAGCATTTCATTTATGGAGAGAAATCATGTACAAAGGAAGTTTACCGGTTATACAGGTATCCACCAATCGCCTGCTGGTACTTTTGGCGTCATACAGTTTCAGTATCTGGACCTCACGACTTCTGATTGGCAGGCACGATCGCCCTGTGGTTTGTTGTCCAGAAACTGAAACGCGTAGGTGTTTGGTTGGCGACATTTGGGAAGTTTGATTCACCACAGTTGTCCAGAAGCTGTAACACGTCGCTCCGTGGCTGGTGTTATCCCGTAGGGTAGGATCATTAGTTTCACACTGTAGCACCCTCAAGACATGATAGATTATTCGATGAACCACACACACACACACACATATGCCAACAGTGAAAATCGACTGCCGTTGCGGAACTAAGTAACGACTGCACCAATTTCCTTATTTATGATCCACCTGTCGCAAGTGCTGCTAAGCATTCTATCGTCCCGGTGAAAAATCTACCCGTTAAATACATGCCATGTTAACACCGTAGATCTAACTTCCCACTGGGACTGAGCGTCAGATGCGTTGTTGACCACGGAAAAGTTCTCAGGTAGACCTTATAAATGAACTAACACATTAGAAGATCGATTACGAAACTAACAGTGATCAGCCTCATAATTCTGTGAATGATTCCGTCGGTTGAAACATTGCAGCACTGCGACTGGATAAAAATATATTTCAAAAGAGCTCCAATAATAGCTATGCGAAACAAAATCCTATTTCTGTTGGGTAGAATAAATGTGATCGAGTTCCGTCATTTGCGTCAGATCACAATTCACACACGCTCATGGATCGTTGTGAATAACACACACACACACAGCAGCAGATGCAAGGCACCCCTGGGTATTTTCTTTCACTAAACCGTTCCGACAATGAGTGCAGAGCTATAGATGAAAACTCAATTTTCTAAAATTTTATGTTTCACTTACTTCCCTTTTTTTGAATATGAGCTTATAGCATTTTGAGGAAGGAGTAATCGGCAAATCAAATGTGCTCTCATACAATATATACACAGGTAGTGTGGAAAATCACGATAGTATTATATATATATATATATATACATATATATATATATACTCGTCTCAGGCCAGACTGTGCGCCAAACAAATCATGGTACAATAATCTTTATAAAAAGAAATACGTTCCATGATTTGCATGTGGGCAGAATGCTGCCAGATTGCCCAGGACAGGGCAAGTGAGTTTTCCTGATGAATCCAAAACCGGAGCCTGACCCGCAAGGTGGTGTGTAGAATCCTCAACCTGGGACAGGTGTCCACTTCATCGGCTCATATGGACGGGGTCAAACGTCCAAGGTGCCCGATTGAGCCGGTGACCATTGCCACAACCAGGGAGGTGTATATATTTATATATTTAGCACGTAGTCAATTAAATAGAATTGGCACATGTGACACAACATACGAAGAAATATGTGAAAACGGTTTAAATGGAAATCAACGAATGAGTCTCGCAACAGGTGCGCCGGTTACCAGCCATGTCTGTAAGTGTATCAAGCCATAGATGTTCTGTCCTTGGGTCCCCAACCAAGGAGTCTAGAGCGCCCTACCACTGCCAGTTGTGAGGTTAGCGCCTTCATTGTTCGAGCTCAAGTTATTCGCCGTCCACCGTGCCGCCGCTTCCAGTTAGTGTCTGCTTGAGCAAACATAACACGATGAGGCAGTCGTTGAGCCGCCATCCGCAACACATATCCTAGCCANTAGCCATCGAAGCTTCTGAGGCAAGATGACGGCACTCAGAGGACGACTGGGATTGTCTGCGATGAAGATTCTTCTGCTAACCTCGTCGTTTGTGATTGGCTATTGCCAACGTATTCTGACGATGCAACGAAGGCAACGGTGGTCAAAGACACTTGATCTCTGTACGTCTTCTGCGTGGAGGGGCCAACTCTCAGCCATAGTGTAGGACAGAGCGTATTGCTGTTGCATTGTAAACGCGGCCTTTCAAAGAGAGACTGAGATTGCATCGGCGCCCCAAGTGACGTAGGTCAGCGAAAGCCGCTCGAGCCTTGCGGATACGCTCTGATATTTCTTCCGTCAGTCCCGAGATAAGTAAAGTGAACGACGATTTCCAACTGGTCGTTCATGAGCGTGAGGAAAGGTGTAGCCTCTTGCCAGTCTTTTAGTAAAACCTTACATTTCGATGGAGAAAATGTCATACTAAACTGTGTGACGGACAATGCTAACTTATACAGGACGTTTTGAGAGAGCGGCGGAGTCGCAGAGTAAAACGATGTCGTCAGCATATTCCAATTCACGGGGTCGATCACCTGGGGAGAGCTCCACACCGGAAGGGCTGCTTAGGATTTTGTCTATTGCGAAATTAAAAAGGAAGGGCGAAGCTGGGCACCCTTCTCGAACTCCGCTTGTGATCGTAAATGAAGGGGAGATGAGACCATAGACCTTGACGCGGCCTGATGTGTTTGAGTATACGGCTTTTAAAAGGTTTACATACTTCTCAGGCACACCGCCTCCTAACAGACAAGTCCAAAGAGCTGCTCTGTCAACTGAGCCAAACGCAGCACCTATGTCCAAAAACACAATGATGGTCGGTCTGAACGTTTGACGTTCCTCGAGGATCTGGTGTAGCGTAAATATATGATCAACGCAGCTCTGGCCGGGGTGGAATCCAGCTTGTTCTTCTCAAATATGACGCTCTCTTGTCCAACTGAGCCCGCGAAGGATCAACGACGTTAACAGCTTGGACGCAGCAGAGATGAGACTGATTCCTCGGTGATTGGAGAAATCTTGACGGGGGCCCTTCTTGAAAACAGGTACGACGTCCGCCAAATTCCATTCGGATGGAATGGTATCAGTATTCCAGATGGTTCGGAAAAAGAAAGTTAGTTCGCGAACAAAGCTTGCACCACCGTCTTTGAAAAGGGCCGGAGGGAGCTCATCTGGGCCGGGCGATTTGTGGCGTTTCAGAAGTCCGAGCCCTCGGAAGACTTCTTCCTCCGTAGGCGACGAAATGTCCACAGACTATGGAGCACTACAGACATCGGGAGATGGAGGTGATGATGTCGATGGCCAACTGAATTGTTGATGAAAGTGCTCCGCCCAGCACGCAAGCCGACATTGTAGATTGTGGATACATTCGCCATTAATTTAGCATATGGTTTCACTGATGTATGGTTTTTTGTTGCCGGTGGCTCGGATTAGTTGAAAAAGTTTGTGAGTATTACCAGAAGTAGAGGCTAGTTCCATCTCGGAAGCGCGTTATGTCCACCAGGTCTCTCGATCCTATTTTGGGAACCGTTTCAGTTCAGCACCGAGAGTCCTGCGAACTGTGTTGTATTCATTTCCTGGAGGGATGCTTCGACGAGTGTCGAGCAGTTGGAGAGAACGTGCCGAAACCCAGTGATTGACTGTGCATTTGGTACAGTCACATGCTGTGGTGGCGGACTTATGCATGGCGTTACGGACGTGAGTCCACTGGTTGTCAACGTT